GATTTGGGATGTACACCAGCTCAACTTGTGTATGGTACTACCCTCACATTGCCTGGTCAGTTAGTTCCGTCTAATGATTCAACTGAAGTAAATATCTCCGACTTCACCAACCGCCTTACCCAGCATATGCTTCAGCTTAGACCAGTAGCCCCTCGCCAATCACTTCAGAAAGCTCAAGTAAATAAGAACTACTCACTAGCAAAATTGTATTTGTTCGCGTCGATGCCATTAGAAAAGGTCTACAACATCCATATGAAGGTCCTTTTCTAGTACTTAAACGCACCGAAAAATACTTCACGCTGAACAAACATGGTAAACCGGAGACTGTTTCTATCGACCGTCTTAAACCAGCGTACACCGACAGCGAACATGAAACACTAGCAACGCCGACACCAATAAACAATCAGCAAGTCAATGCAACTCCAACTCTCCCGCTCTTCACTCTTCCCCCTGTACAGACACGCAGTGGGCGGCAGATCTGTAAACCTGCCCGCTATGTTCATTTCATTGACTGACATAAACGTTAACCTCATTTAGACATTCTTCTCATTACTATTGTTGTCGACATTCATTTCATTATAACCATAAATATTTATTAGTATTATTGTTTGCTGTTCGTTAACTGTACTGCAAGCACACGCATTCACCAAGTATATGTATATATCTATTTATATATGAATTTCACAAATGTTAACAAACATGTCATGGTTTATTATGTACATAAATTTTTATTTAAAATTATAACAAGTTTTGATTTTTTTTTAAATTCCTGTATGTGCTTGTATGTGCTAAACTTTATACGACACGGATGCATTCCATACATCCTGATCTAACTTTGTATCCTTATTGTTGTTGTTATTTTTTGTTATCCATATTGTTGACATTATCCCTTATTTATATTGCTTATATTCATGTAATCGTCCACGAGGACAGTACTGATGGTCCTCCGGACCTCTAAGAGGGGGAGCCCTGTGGAGTCCTCAAAAATCAACTTATCCAAATTTTACTACTATGTAAATAATGAACATATTGTACACCACTTTGTTTTAACCATAAACTCTGTACTTTGACTTTACCTCGGGTTTTGAATAAATATATAGTTGTGCCTTCGACTCTCCGTCTTCTCCACCATCTCAACTGCCGTCGATCAATCCTAATCACCTGCTTTCTATCTCTGATTTTTGCAGGAGCACCGTAGTTTCTTCCTACGTACTTTGGTCGACCTCCGGCAACGTTAACATTGGAGAATTACTACTGGAGCAGTCTTTCCGCAGCACCTGGAGTCTATAACGTTTATTGTGGACTGTGGACCTTTGTAAACTCAAGTAATCAAACTTTAATACATTCTTCCCGTAACTAAACTCATTTGGTATTTTATTTTCTACTTGAATTTGGGTAACTAAGCTAACAGAGTGAAAAGGTCCACCACACCTACATAGCTAGGAAATAAAATGTATCTCATTATATTATCTTTACTAAATATGCTTATTAATCTTATGTGTAACTTATCGAATTGATGATACCTGTAAACTGGCGTCCCTCATGTAAAAAATGAGAATATATATTATTATTATTGACGCTCATAGCTTGTTGAAGAATGTCATCTCTTTATGTAGCCTGTCTTTTTTGCTCTTCTGCAATCGGTGGCTGCTTAATGGTACACACACACGAATTCTACTCTTAACTCTCTGTCTTTAAAGACGCAGCAACCATTTTATCGTTCGAGGGAGGATAGACGCCGATTGGTAGTAAGAAAGAATCTGTGTGGCCGAAAGCACTGTAATCTGTTTTCTCAATGAACCGTTATACCTTTTCTTTGATCCAAGTACAAAAAGGTAAGTCTTGTGGTCTGTCAGCAAAGTGAATATCCTGTCGCAAATAGACTCGTGAGACATTCACACGGCATATGATTGTCCAAAAGCCTTTTTTTCTATTTGTGAGTAACGCTTTTCTGCCTCAGAGAGTGAGCATGAGGTGGATGACAGACTTTCGAGTTCTATCGGGATATTGAAACAATAGTACGGCACCAACTCCTATTGCTGAAACGTCTGCTAAAACTATAACGGGTAGTTTAGGATCTCAGTGTGTAAGTAGTGATTTGGATTCAAGCATGCCATTCGGTCACTGAATGGCTTCATCTCACCTTTTGGACCAGGCCCAAGGATGATGTTTATATAACAGACAGTTCAGTGGTTCGCTAATTGTATGCAAAGAGGGGTAGAAAAGCTGAATTATAAATGATCATACCTAGGAAAGAACAAAGCGTTCGCACGTCTTTCGGTAATGACACCTGTTGGATCGATTTTATTTTCTGTTGGTCAGGTAGTCGTCCATAAGCGTCGAATATCAACTCCAAATACTTGACGGTCTGTTAGCTGAGTTAGTATTTTTCTGCTCTGAAACGCAATTCGCTGAAGCCAATTTCTGGAGCTTAACTCTCATTCGCCCTCTTAATTCCCATGGGGAAGCTGCGACAATCAGTAGACTGTCTAAGGGATAAGCAGTTCCTGGAATCTCAGCTAAGACAGTATTCATTATTTTTGTAAAATTGTGGTGGTACCAGTGCGAAAAAACAGAACACAGATTGGTGACTTGAGAATCCTTTATTCTTGCACTAATATGGAACCAACAGTAAGGTTATTATACACAAAATCTGAGAATAAATGTCATAATAATCAATCACAATAATACTTCTGATAGTATTTCTCCATCTTCTAACGAACAGCTTACGATGGAACGATGACTGCAGTATCGGTGACTCCCACCAAAATGTGGAGTTGGTTTTGAGTAAACAGCAATGAATTGATCGTTCATTCTTCAACTACATTGACACCAGGTTTTCATTATTTACAAAAAATGTGCCGATAAAATAGTTTCCACGGAATCTGACGTTGCACTTCAACTGCACGGTCAAAGGAGGTTTTCCACCAGATGCGCTAACTGCTACCTGATCTGTCTCCTGCACAGTGGGGCACACCAGTGTTTGCCATAACCCCTTTGATATTGCTGTCACGCCAAATGCTGTGTCTTTTTGTAGACGCGTCAGATATCAGCTGATTTCCAGCTTAATGTATTCACGTGGAGCACGCGTGCTGATGTGATAAGCGGCCGCGATACTCATAGCTTTCGACACTGGTTGTCCATAGGATGGGCTTCTGGACTTTGGTGGGTGAGTCCGCAAACAATATCCATCTTTGTGTCCAGTGGTGCGGAATCGTCGACATTTATTGTGTTTGTATGTATATGATTTCACATAATGCCAAGCCCCATGATGCTGGTATACTGAAGACGGAATCTGCTGCTGCTGATGCGGTGACTTTGAAGTCGATGGTCCTGGATGCAGCTCAACAACTTCGGCTACATTGTGGCCGCCAAACTCGATCAATGTGGTATCTTTGTGAAGGCTGGTAAGTCGCCGATATTCTTCACCGATGTGTTTCACCGTCATTTGCGAGTCATGCTCAAGTTAGTTCAACAACCGTGTTTCTGTGTCAGGGATTTTGGAAAACTGCAAGCCACAAATGAAGATAAGAACATTGAATCGGTCTTCTATTGGCAACTTTAACTTGAATCTCTCACATTGCTAATTTACAGTACTAGGTTGAGTGTGAATATCGCCATTTTCGTTCAGTACGAATTCCATTCAGTGGTAACGAATGTTGAGCAATGACCTGTGGTCACCAACTCAACCCAGCAGCAATCAACTTCCACAGTAAGAGTCTAACTTTCTATGCATCAAGACAATACAATACCACCAAAACGGGGACTCAAGAAGACAAGGAGAGAAGAGAGACCATTGTTGTAGTGAGCTTTCACTAGGGTATTTTAGGAAAATTTATTCTATATAAAAAAGTAGAATGAATTGTAAGAGTACACAGACTTCCCCTAATAGATGAATTATTATGTTTTCGCAGTCTTCAATTACGCATGATGCAAAAAATACATTTTCTAAAGTGACGTCTGAATCAAGAAGAATATCATAATGGAAATGTTTCATCACTGACACGTGGATGTATTTTGGCTGTGATTAGAAAACCTAAAACTCCACTGTATACCCATTTCTTTCATCGAATTGTTGAAGAATGTGAATCTCATCCTAGGATGAAGACACTTAGCCACTTTTGTCATGATAATAACCTACAAGTGTCCATTATGCTTAACCAATAAAAACTATTTGGAATGATTCAAGAGTTCTTCTGAGAAATTTAGAACGAAAATGATCAGTTAGCTTTTTTCGACTGCATTAACCATACATCAAATTTAAGCACAAATTATTGACAACAGGATTTATGTAAGGCATAGTGCTATTGGTGGGTTACACTGATGAGTAACAAATTATAAGCTTCAGATTGTAGCGGTAGGTGATTCCTCAAAATTACTAGCCACAGCACTCATCAATGAATATTGGATGCTGACCCTCAATGTTTCAGTCGATTTGTTTAGCTGAAGGCTTACAATCAGGCATCCACGCTATTTGGTGCGCCATTGTGTTACGTTGTTCGTTCGTTCATCCACGATCCTTAGTTGGTTAAGCAGTCCTCTCACACTCCAATATGGTCCCGAAATATAATTCGTAATATGAACGATTAATTTTGTCGTTTTGCTTTGCCTTTGGTCTACGCGGAACGAACACTAGAGAAGTTGTGGGTATTAAATCTTGCGTTAGTATACTTCGTACTATCCTTGAACGTCAATCCCTTTAGCCTCTAAAGTATTAATTCAAATAAAGTGCGTATCGGTCGTGCAGATTTGGTATGTTTGTAAAAAGGAAAAGTTTTATGGTTTGATCACTTGGAATTAATGAACTAATATCTTTGGAATCTTTTCAGAACCTCTTAGCAGAAGACAACAAACATTTAAGATGAATCGTATTTAAAAGGAAAGTAAAGTAACGTGACTTTTATTTTCATCAGTATTAGCAATCAAATGATTTGTCAAGTGTTCTCAGCTGAATATATATTAGTTCTCACTTTCCTCTCATTTGTGCCCAAGCGACTGCCTCATTTTCGACAGAATCCAGGTCCTGTGAACGGTTTCACATTCCAGTTCAATCTTCAAAGGGCAAGAAGAAAGAAGTTTAAGAAGATTGGTATGAACTGGTTGTAATGTCTCAAACAATAATGTAAGTGACGAAAGTATTCATGGGAATACCAAAGAAATTTGATGACAACCAATGACAGAAGAGTTCTGTGTCATCATAATCTAATTACAGCTATCAGGCTACATTTCTCCACCTTCATCTGTACCACACTAACTTAATCCCTTTCTTTCTCTCTCTCTTATTTTGAATATTGTTAAATGTTTATCTACCGACAAATCGCTAACAAATAAATGTGTTTGACGGGTTTCTCTGTAAGTGAAGTTGATTGGAATATTCGAAATGTATTTTGTGTCTCAGATAAATCACTTTTGTTTACTATGCAATAAACGGCAATTAACTGTGAGTGCACCAAATATCCTTGGTCAGTAGGACAGATATGCATTACAGAAACCTGGAACATCAGCGTCTGTCTACTTATGAAGTGATTAGAAGATGACGCCATTGTATTCATGAGTTTTGTATTCGTCTTATTCCTTAAATGATGGACTCAGTTGAATTGGGAATGTGTGGAGTACGTAACAATACGATTGTACACTTTTTGTTAGTTGTAGAAATTAGAGACATTGTACATGATTTTTATTTGCATATTTGTAGTGTTAATGAGCTCTCTTAAAAGTCCCCTACAGATGCAAGTTCCGCATTCATTTATCACAATGACTTAGACCTGCACATCAGTGTGAGAATGAATTTCATTTTGGCAGTCTTATTCATTACTCACAGCTTCAGAGTAAACCCTTTACTTCATTCGACTACTCAACCACATGAAGGTCACCGGTAACATATCAGAAATCGTCTATCACTTCAAATCTCTATCTCAAGAAAATCACAAGTCAGACTGCCGATACACGTTTCAGACAAGTTGACAATATATCAAAATGTGCATCTAATCGGCCATTGGAGTTATAAGTACACTCCTAACATCACCTTCTGTTATTCGGTTTGTTCTCACTAAGCATTGTACATTGTTAATCTTAAATTCATATATGAAAATAATCAGCCTTCACTCACAGTATCATTTGACAATGGAGCTTCTTCAATCTCTTTGAAAAATCATGAAAATCGCCTGCATCGATCAACCAAAGACGTTCAGCAGCTACAGCAGTTATCGGCCTTTACATGTTGTCAGTGAAGTTATTCCATTTGATATGAAAGTAAAATAAAATGTGCTTGTAATACATGTAAAGAATAAAATGGTTGAATGTAGCTTTAAGTAGAGGAGTTTATTGTGTGCATAGTGAACAACTGTAAGTGTGTCTTAAACCAGAGATCAATGAGCCCCTAGTTTCAGTGGTATGAGTTCCAGTTTGTTTTCAGATAATTCTGTGATGATCCGCTCATATGAGAGTAAAACGAATTCTTTGCCGAGGCGTATGGAACTTGAACCCTCTGAAGTTTCATAAAACGGATTAGATTGTGCCATTCAAGTTTCCAATGATGGTGTATATCTGAAATACTGATTTTAGTTGTGTTATTGCACAGTATAATCACGAGGTTGCAGGTAAGCTTTATTGACGATTCTATATTTTTTTTTTTTTTTTTTTTCATTAAACCCGCGGCACCGACTACTGTTTGATTTTTGTGAGTAGTTTGATATGATAATATCAATACTAATAGTTTTATTCTGAGGAGTGTTGACATACTTAGCAGAATTTATTGCAAAACATATTCCCCTCTTCCGGGATCCTTGCGTAAAATATTAAGTGATAGCAGACTGAGTGACTCACTGTCTTTTGACCGGAGGTGTACAGCAATCTCTCTTATGCTATTTCTTCTTTGTCTCCTTCGAGAAGTGCATGGCCTTCGAATGAAAGTCAGTTAAAAAAGGTGCACGAGTACGTTTTGCGTTCAGAATATAGCACCCAATGATTGAAAACTGCAGGAAGTTAGTTTCACTTTCTAGCCAGCGTGGCAGCGTGTACTAACTATGTGTCAGGAACAATTATCACATGGGCAAAGTTAAACTTTAAGCACCGGTAAGTACCAATGGGCAAATGACCTGGGATGCACTAACTACATGATAAAGGCGACTTTTGCTTATAAAATGGATATATTCATGAAAATAATGAATTAAGAGGGCTGAAACTGTCACACAGGATACGCTTCTATGATATGTGGTAAAAATACCACTCATCGCCCTACCAGGCGACATCTTCAGCGCATTCTTCAGTTTGCTTGTGTCAGAGGTTAATCCATGCGTGTCTATATACATACCTTAAAACGGTGAGACCGCGAATGGGTCATTAAATCAGCAATGGTTTCTTAGATCATATATACTACATGAATAACTGCAGTAATTCTAGAGCCAATGCACGCAATTATGCGCTAACCTGCAAGGGAACGGGTGCATTTATTAGAACAGAACCAACCGGGGACAGTTTCGGCTATCCCTGTTAAATTCTGAAAAAAATACCGCTCAGTTTTTCACTGGAGTATCAATGGACTAATTATACCATATTTTATGCGTGCAACTATCTGATCTTTTAACCGTAACAATATCTCTAATCTTCAACTAACTTAAGTCTACCGTGAAAATATCCCTAGACTAACCCTAATCTACCTTGAGCCAACCCCATTAGGTCCTTGAATTTAAACCTTAGCTTAATCATTCCCAAACCTAACTTGAAACTTGTCAGACACTCCATATGTTAATTATGATTGCTGCATCATCTACCAGGTTTCACTAACTTGCTCACTGAGCATTTCAAGGATGATATCGGTGTGATCGTACTCCACTAGTGCTCACTGGTGATTAAAGTTTAATTTGTGCATCAAATGTATTGAGATACATTGCCACCCACGCATATGCCTTCCTCACGTTTTCCAGAAACTTGCTAGTCAGCAAGCTGTAAACATTTCAAGCATTTATGTGAGTAAACAGTACGACTAGAGGTCATATTTTTACAGATTAAAATATTGCAGACATGAGAAGTGAGGTACAATTTAATGATGACGGTTTTTAGTAACTGAATTGTTAAAGAGGCCCCAGTTATGCAACTCATTTCAAACAGTGACGCTTCATGTTGTCCGAAATGTACACCGATGAGGAGCTCAGTTTTAAACGAGCAAGGTGGCCACCCCACGTTTAAATCATTTCCATCGGGGTGGCATACGTGATCTGTTGATGAGAGTGTTATCCCAGTATATCAGTCCTATATACCACAATACCTATAATTCATATTCAGCTATGTGTAGCTATCCAGTTCTGTCTGTCTCTCTGTTTTCGAGATAGAACTTTGCACCGATGTACGGCAGTTCAAGTCGCCGCACTCCATGAACCACACAAAGCAAGAGAAGAAAGCGGAAGAAATGCAGACAGTGATAGTAAACAGAGGTGTGAGACAAGGGAATAGTAATAACGAAGAACAATATGGTTTGGAAGCATATCTTAGAAATTATAAGTCACAAGGAGTGGATGCATCTGCGCTGTCATTGAGAACAATTTTGAGCCATATCACCAATAGTTTCCAGCCATTGGTTTCTACCGTCCCGAGGACCCCAACTAGTCAGGAAGTCTACACCTTCCTACATGACTGGCTTAAACTAACTGTTGTGGATTTCATTGGCTGGTGCCATGTTTTGGATTGACTGCCACTGGCTCCTTTCCAACTTGGCCCTATGTCAGCTAACATTGCCCACTGTCGAGGCAGGCGATGACTAGGCATCCGTAACACATGTCCTAATCATCTCAGTCGATGCTATTTAACAGCCTCGTCGATTGATTTCCCCTCCCACCAGCCCAGCACTTAACTGAGGCCGAACCTCAATATTGCTCACCTTTTTATTCCACTTCACACGGGAGATAGAGCGTAGGCACCTATGATCAAAGACAGCTAGCCAGGCTTTTCATGTCTTCCACTCCCAATGGCCAGGTCTCACAGCCATAGAGGGGGACGGAGTGGACTGATGAGCAGTACACTCACCCTTTGGTCGATAACCGGATTTCACGTCTGCGTCAGCTCTCTGTATCCGTGCTAAGATTTCATCAGAGATCAACCCGTTCGGGCTGGTGGCAATTCCCAAATAAGTGAAGCGGTCAACGTGCTCTACCACTTCACTTCCTATTTCTAAACTAGGAATCAGTGTAGTCCAGTCCTGTAACATCATCTTGCATTTGGTGGGAGCAAATCGCATGCCGAACATTCGTAGATTGCAGCTCAAGGTGTTCAGAAGACTCTGCTCGCTTTTGTCAGCATACTCGCCTCGAAGGACTATATCGTCTGCATATTCTAAGTCAACGAGATTATATGCTGGTAGCAAGTCAATCAACCGCTGAGTCTCTGAAGTGAGTTAGGGTTAAGTCCATCAGTACATCTATGATGAAGTTGAATAGAAATGGGGATAATGGGCATCCTTGACGGACACCACTATTCGTCAACACTTCAGATTACAACTCGCCGTAAGCCCTCACCTGGCTGGCTGCATAAGTTCGAGTATAGTGAGTGCCTTGATCAGTGTAATGCATTTTCTCGGCATTCATTTTACAGCCAAGCATCGCCAGAGTACCTCTCGGTTGACAGGATAAAATCCGTTTTCAGGTCGAGAAAAAAAGCGACTTTTGGATGCCAATAAGTAATAATAATAATATAATCACTTTATTCCACAATATGCCTATGTTGCGGAATGTGTTGGAGGGCGAAGATATGATCAATACACACTATTCCTGGTCTAAAGCCTGCCTGATTTTCTCGTGTTTCTTCCTTCCGAGTTCCACTTAATTGGCGCTTTATTATTGAGCCTAGGACTTTAGATACTATATTATTCAAGCTAATACCTCTGTGATTATCACAGGAAGACGTGTTTCCCTTTATTTGTGTGGGGATAATCAGTGACTTACACCAACCCGATGGGGCTTCTTCTGATTGCCAGACGCTGCCTAGTACCTCAGTTAACACAGAGAGCAAGCTGTTTCCGTCGTACTTAAATACCTCTGGAGTTATTCCATCAGGTCCTGCTGCCTTGCCTTGTTTCAGATTAGTGACAGCCTTAGTAACCCCAGTTAGGGACGGAGGACCTGTGTCTATATCCCATTCAGGGAGGTGTTAGATGTACGGCAGGTCGAGCGTGGCTGTGGGCCAATTAAATTGCTCCTCATAGTGTTCTTTCCAGCGTTCCAGTCGTCCATCCTGGTGTGGTGAGAGCAGGCTGCTAGCCGATTGGTTGGCACTAATCTACGTTAAGGTCTAGGTCACTAATATGGGCCGTGAACAAGCCTGAGTCAACAACCAATCACAGCAAAGTTAACGTGGCAAAATATGATTCGCAGAGAGAACTCTATTTGTCAAGGAATCCCGAAACAACCAATCAGAAGCCTGCGTTTGTCTACCTAAACAACCAATCAGATGACTGCGCTTGTCTATAATAATGTAGTTGAAAGATGTATAAATACGTGTTGATTTTCATAATAAAACGATCTGTTGCCTGGCCCTTGTCTTCTGTTGTTACATTTGGTGTCGCTGCCTACCGACAAATGAAAAGCCTATACCCTGCAGTTTTTGATGGAGACATATGGATCTTCGGGCAGGACTTCAAGGCTTCTGCGCAGTTGAGTGGCGTTCAAGATCTGTCAGCGATGGAGCTGCTACTTGAGACGCTGCTGGGAGGTCGGGTGAAAGCAGCATATGAAAGTGTGAGCCGAAGTATGGACGAATGTTCGACAGGGTCAGGCAAACAGTTTCCAAAGTGGGAAGGACCATATATGGTCACTTCGAGATGGGGTTACGCAGACACAGTCGCAATGGCGAACAATGAGAGGCGCGTGAACGTCAGCGAGCTCCAGAAATGGATACAGCGAGACAAGCCAACGATGACGCCTGCACCAAGTAGATCAAGCCGACATCAGTCGCACGTATTTGACGGGGGGACGAGTGTGGTGAGAGCAGGCTGCTAGCCGATTGGTTGGCACTAATCTACGTTAAGGTCTAGGTCACTAATATGGGCCGTGAACAAGCCTGAGTCAACAACCAATCACAGCAAAGTTAACGTGGCAAAATATGATTCGCAGAGAGAACTCTATTTGTCAAGGAATCCCGAAACAACCAATCAGAAGCCTGCGTTTGTCTACCTAAACAACCAATCAGATGACTGCGCTTGTCTATAATAATGTAGTTGAAAGATGTATAAATACGTGTTGATTTTCATAATAAAACGATCTGTTGCCTGGCCCCTGTCTTCTGTTGTTACACTGGGAGCTAACTATAGTGCCATTTTTTTCCGAGATTGTTTCACTTATCAATCGCCTCTTACCACCTGTTTCCCTGATATGTCTAAATAGTTGTCTGGTGTTATGAATCGCCGATGCATTTTCCATCTCTTTCGCTTTTGTCGCCCACCACTGTTCATGGTCATTGCAAAGACTTCTTGCTAGTTTTCGTTTGAATACCTTTCGCTCCTCATCATGATCGGAGCTCGCTGGAATCAGTCTTCTTGCGTCAATCAGTTCGGATGAAGTGGTAGATATCCAATGATTCTTAATAACTTTTGGTTTTAGCTTATTAACAGCTTTGACAGCTGTGTCCACACCTAACTGTTTGCTGTGCCAGGCTTCCTCAGGAGGAGTCCTGCTGTCGTTGTCGACCTCAGACACTCGTTTCGCTTTTCTTCCTTAAATAGGGACTCAGTGTTTCGATCCAGCTGGGGACGTAACTGTTTCGCTGCCATCAATTTCTTATGTCCGTTTAGTCGTAAGCATAAACGTGCGTGAACCTGAGCGTGACCAGAGCCTACGCACGTGTTCCAGAAGGAGTGACAGTCTTCGGACCCTCGCCAACGATACCCTATCGCTATGTAGTCTATCTGAGTCCAGCGTTGGTTTGGTGATGGAGGTCGCCAGGTTACACAAGGTCTCTCTTTGTGCCTAAAGTTAGTACTGACTAGGAATAGATGATTATCTGAGCAAAACTGTAGAAGATGGTCACCGTTGTCTGTTCGTCGGCAAGGAACTCCATACGTGCCACCTACATACTTCTCAGTCTGACACAACTTTCCTATTCGGGCATTGAAGTCGCCTGTTAAAACAGCTATACGTCAACGTTTTGCTTTTTGCAGCAAATAAGACAGTTTCAGGTAGAAGTCGTCCTTCAGTTCATCCGAACTGCAGTCAGTTGGGGGGTGAGTGGGGACTACGAAAAGGCAACGACGGGTAACGCCGTCTTTCTTTCTTTTAACGGGCCCATTCAGACGGACGGCACACATAGGACTATCTACTGGGATCCAGTCAAGAAGTGATTTTTCCGTCCTAAAACTCAGTGCTATCCCTACACCTGCGAGTCCTCGCGAGCTAGCTGAGGGGTCTCCTGACACCCTTAAAGTGAATTTTGCAGATTCACCTTGTTGACCGGGTGAGGTCAAGTGAATGACCACACTCGGGTCTTGTATGCTTGTCTACTAAACACAACATACATCCATGGCTCTAGATTACAGAGTTCATGCTAGCGATGCCTCTTGTCCGGTTTGGCAGAGGGTCCTGACGTTAAATGCTCCTATGTGAAGTTGACGACGTGGCTTTAAAAGGCTATCTGGGGTGTTTCTATAGCTTTCACCGTTGTTTGTGGTCACAGGTTGAAGTGAAGATGATTCACTAGCCTGCAGTATAGTACTGACAGTAGCAGAGAAGCAAGATGAGGAAGGTGATGTGAGTAAAGGAGAATGATGCTCAGGAAGGCTTCGTGCGCCTTTGGAAGTGTGTGGGCGGTTGTTACTTCCCGGCTGCCCACACTGTGGAAATTGATTGATTCTTCGGATACATGAAACAGAAAGGGTGTTGTGTGACTGCAGAGCCCAGAAGACAACTGCTTGAGGCCGGTCACAGACTGGCTGTATGAATTAGTTTCTGGGATTGGTTCCGTATTAGTAAACCTACCGCCGGTTACGGACCACCGTAGGGTGTCAGGATGTACAATTTTTTGGGCCGACCATTTCTAACCCCCTCTCTCCACAGTGGAGAGACAGCATAGCTGGCTGGCACGCTGGTCATCTGAGGAAAACACCTCACTGATGTTACACCCCTGTTCCTCAACACTACGACTTCACCCTCAGACCCCCCTGCAAAGTGCAAGAAAGATTCCTACACAATGCCGGTAACTGCTTTTAGTCTAATCGCTATCCTAACAACCTTCCTGGCATGGTAGGACCTGTAGGAACATTGGTTCCAGCCAGTGCAGCTTGTTGGGTCATCGCGATGTGCAAGCCCGACCACCACGTCAAGGTAGCAGCTATCGGTCGAGCTATCCAGTTCAGCTTCAACTCATTAAGACTAATTTTCCTGGCACTAGAGATATTTTGTCTGACAAGTACTTCGTGACACTAGACCAAGAGGAGTATATCTCTGCATCTAGATCCGCTCCAACTGCATTTCGGAAATGGTTTGCTTATTTTGAAGTTATCTACATGACAGTCACCAAGTTCACCCTCATCAAAGTATAGTATAGCAGTAGTATAATGCGGTGGTGTCAAGCAAACACCTAAGCTCTCAGTATAAATCTATAGGAATCTGAAATTCCATGAACCAATTATGTTCAGTTATGACGTGAAATTAATAGCAAATTCGAAGTTCAGTCAATCTTCAAAGAATGATGCACATAAGACCTGAAAACAGCTGTCTGGCACATTGATTACATATGTATCGTTAATTGCTTACCATGATCGTAGAAAGAGATTTGTGTCATCCACATAAGTTCCCCAGATGATGACTTCACCGCCAATAACTAACTGAACTTCTTCTTCACTACCTATTTACAATGAGAAGAAACACAACTATTCGTCAGTATTACAAAAATCATCAGGGCAAAATATGCTTCGATGTCATCATAAAAATGTCTTCCTGACACTTTGGAACAATAATTGTGAATATACGTTCTGTGTGTTTATCTGTGAGCATGTGGAGGAATGTCAATGCTCTACCGCTTGTCTATTTCACAATTCTCCACTCCAATCTTACTAATACACGGTACAGTTCAGATCGTCTTGGTTGATAAATTCTACTGTATCTCATGCAGAATGTCAGCCACTATGGTCGTGTCTGAAGCACTCTTTATTCCACGTTCCATTCACTACTACAGAATATCGCCTGAATTCACTCAATCGTATACACACGAAATAATATAGTGACAGTTCCCCACATCGATAATTGACAAGTATCAAGTGTCTACTGGAAGCCTAATATCTGCTTAGTGACAAATCTAGACACCGGAACATCATACTTTCACAAACCACCGCATCCACTGTATGGAAGATTGTCAAAGTTTTATTCAGGAAACAGGTGAGAACAGCCATTATTTTTAAAAACTTCATTTACAATCCATTCAGAAATAACATTAAAATCACCTCCAAATACAGCAGGATCACAATCGTACAACGTCTTCCATGCATCTCCAAAGTTCCCAACAACTTTTGACCAACACGCTGAATTGATCACTCTGTATCCAGACGATGTGACTAAGTCAATGACATCCTCCCAGTAGGAATTATTGTGTACTTGTATGATGATGTTTTTATCATTATCCTGGCAATGCAAAATATAAAATACATTAACAATATTTAGTGGGTAATGTGATTAAAGTTGATGACATAACATAACAATTTCACTTTTATTCCAGAAACTTGTGGTACAGTGTGGAATTTTCAGCACATATCTACAATATTGCATCTAATTTCATCGTACATTTAAAAGGAGTATTACTAAAAAAAAAATATATAAAAAAACAACAAAAAACCAAAAAAGAAACACAAAAAGTGCAAATAAAAATACTAAGTAGAAAGGAAGATAAACACCAATAATGAAAAATATTTCAGTATTGGTTAGTGGAAGCTATGATATGTGTATGCGTGGTGAACAGTAACAGCTATAATCATACAAGAAATTATGAGATGTTCTTAAGAATGTTTATAGCCAAGATGATCAGTTAATTTGATTGAACAACACTAAACAATCATAAAATAAACATTTCAGGTTTTTTTTTTTTATTGTCAGCACTAATGCGGTGTTTGTTGTGGTAGTGTGAGGAATCATGCATAATACAAAATTTTTAAGATGGTGATAGTGGCGATCACAAACAAGATTGTCAGTTAAATAGTGCCGAACAAAGAACAACCACAAAACTAATATTACATGATGGTTAATGACAGGACAATTTTTAATAATCATAGTGATAATATAGTCGGACCCAGTAGATATACAAAAGAAGGAATAGAGTAAAGTACAAAAAAGTAAGCCAATGATAATAATTTTAAGCAGCTAAGTATGTTTAAGAAGGTTGTTCACTATAGAGTACAAATAAGAGAGTGTAAGGGGGAAATAACAAGGGCCAAAATTATGTTATTAACAACAAAGCAAGTCATAGGTTTCACGCTTAACATTGTCTCTGTCACTTAGAACACGGGCCAAATATGGTATCGTTGAGTTCCTATACTTGGTTGTACGAGCATATATTATTTTGTACTGATTTCTGGTTCTACCTGATGAGATGCAAGGAGAGAGTTGGGAATAGAGGGGGTGTTGGGGGTCAGAGAGTATGGTTTTAGACCATTTCTCACATGTATTCAGATGCTTATCCACTAATGTTGTGACGAGCTGACTGAGTTTTACACCGCTAGTCCTACTAACTACCTTCAACATCCTTCTCAGGATGGTATAATCCTTTTTCAGTAACCCAGGAAAGACTAACGGGGAACAGTAAAGTAGAATAGGTAGGATACGAGAGTTGACAAATTGTGAAAGCAGAGGTTGAGGGACTCCAGTTAGTCTGAGTTTCTTAATGTAGTAGGTTAGACGAAACACTTTCTTGGAAATCATTTGGATATGAGATGACCAAGTAAGGTCGGAAGATATAACTAATCCGAGGTATTTTGCATTAGACTTTGTTTCAATTATAGTCCCCTCAATTCTACAGACATCATGAGTGCTTACTAGTGTTTGTAGATCTCGTTTATGCCTAAAGGAGAAGTCGACAGTCTGGCATTTTGAGGGATTCAGCGTTAGGCCATTTAGTTTAGACCACTGACTGATGTCCGACAGGAAGCTATTTAATTTGAAGCAGTCTGACTGAGACTTAACGGGAAGCGAAACAGTCAGGTCATCTGCATATTTGACGAAGTTGATTTCGTCTGAGAGAGGTAAGTCATGTAAGAAGAAGGAAAAGAGAAACGGCGAGAGAACAGCACCCTGAGGAACACCAGCTTCAGTAAGCAAAGGAGAGGAAGCTACACCATTATATACCGTGTACTGCATCCTATTGGAGAAGTAAGAGTGCAGCCAGTTGATAGCCCAGGACTCAGTTTGTGTAAGGCTAAGCTTGTTTAACAAAAGGCCTCTAGGTACAGAGTCAAAAGCAGATGTGTAATCAAGGAAAGTACAACGGACATACTTGGCCCCTTTGTCTAAGGAGGATACAATGTTGTGATGAAACACAGCAGCAGCATCCAAAGTACTTCTACCCTGTTTGTAAGCAAACTGCTTTGGATCGTTTGAGAAGCTTAGGGAGGGAATGAGTTTTTGTAACAGTAATTTCTCCATCAGTTTCAAAAAAGGAGAGGTAATGGCAATTGGTCTAAACTTAACACTATCTCCAGAACCAGACTTGGGTACAGGGATGATTTTAATATCTTTCCACAGAGAAGGTACATTATTATTAGAAAAAGAAGTATTGAAAATGCTTGTAAGTGGGTTACTTAAAATATCAGCACATTTCTTTAAAACAATGGCAGGTATACCATCAGGGCCTAGACTCTGGGAAGGTTTAAGAGATTTCAAACATTTAAGAACATCAGAAGTATTGAAACGATGAAAGTCACTGGTCGTGTTATTAGTTAAATGAAGGCAGAAAGGACATTTGGAGGGCGGATGAAAGATCTATTGAGAGTATTTACATCAATAGAAGAGGCAAAATTATTATGCTTACCACAACCAGTAATTTCTCTAAAAAGCTTCCATATGTTTTCTGAGGTTTTACAAGATAGTATTGTTTGATTATAAATGTTGTTTAGTCTCTTGATTTCAGATTTAATTTGGGTGTTTATCTTCTTAAGACCAGATTTATTCTTTGTCTTGTACAGCTTCTCTTTTTCTCTACGAAGTTTTTTGAGATGAGGGGAAGAAAAACGATCCATTCTTTTGAAAATTATCTGTTTTGGACAGCATATATCAAGACAGAATTTAAGATAGTCAGTCAAATTGGAAATAGTATCATCCAGTTTGTGTTCGTTGAAAAGTTCCCAGTTAGTGTCATTTAGCATACATCTTAGTTTGAGCATATTTTCTTGTGAGTAACACCTTTGCTGTGTTTTCTTGGACAGATTTGAGAAGATATTAAAGTGAGATCTGCTGTATATCTTAGGTAATATCCGAATAATACAATGATCTGAGTTCATGATAGGAGCACGTCGGCGTACTTCATATATTTCCTCATCATTAATGAACACTAGGTCAAGAGTTTTATCAAGTCGAGTAGGGAATTTAACAATATTGGCATGACCTAATGATACGAGGAAAGAACAATCACAGCAGTTAAAATCTCCTGTGACAACTGATAAAGAGTTTTCAAGATGTGTAACGGCAAATTCAGTGAATTCATCAGCAAAATCAGATAGATCAGATGCAGAACAGCCAGGAGTAACATAAATGTTAGAGATGAAGACGTATTTAAACTTGGATAAGTGTTTCGGGCGGCATTTGACCGTTATACAATCAATAAAGTCATTAGAGTAAGAAAAACATACATTATTTGAAGTTGACCATTGAGAATGAATGAAAGTTGCAACACCTCCACCTCTTTTCTTTCTGGAGCATAGTCGATCTTGTCTAAACAATGTAAAACCATTTAGGGAAACCAGATTGTCATCATAGAGTTCATGGAGCCATGTTTCTTGTAATGCAACAATCGCCGTATTGTGATAAGTATCAGATGATAAGAGAGACTGGAGATGCATAGTTGTGTTGGGAAGTGAACGGCAGTTTGAAGTGACAATAACAGGAATAATCTGAGTAGAATTCACTTGAAAATGAATGAGAGTTAAGTTAATAAGCTGAGTAGAATTCACTTAAAAATAAACGAAAATCGAGTTAGCAACAGTCGTCATGAGCGTAGAGATTTAATAGAGGGTGGGGGTAGAAAATAATGCAATTAAGAAATAGACAAACAAAGAAGAAAGAGGTAAGACAAAATTACGTATTTGGTGTTAAGATAGATCAGGACCATTGTAGATTTAGTGACTGGACAAACTTCTTTTGTATGCAGAGTTCAGGATTCAATATGTGAATTGCCATTGCTTCTGCAGTTTGAAGAAGTTTAATTCGTACTCTTTTGGCAAGATTTCCACTTCTCAGTTATCTACACAATACGGGGGAATCTTGCCAAAAGAGTACGAATTAAACTTCTTCAAACTGCAGAAGCAATGGCAATTCACATATTGAATCCTGAACTCTGCATACAAAAGAAGTTTGTCCAGTCACTAAATCTACAATGGTCCTGATCTATCTTAACACCAAATACGTAATTTTGTCTTACCTCTTTCTTCTTTGTTTGTCTATTTCTTAATTGCATTATTTTCTACCCCCACCCTCTATTAAATCTCTACGCTCATGACGACTGTTGCTAACTCGATTTTCGTTTATTTTTAAGTGAATTCTACTCAGCTTATTAACTTAACTCTCATTCATTTTCAAGTGAATTCTACTCAGATTATTCCTGTTATTGTCACTTCAAACTGCCGTTCACTTCCCAATACAACTATGCATCTCAGTCTCTCTTATCATCTGATATTTATCACAATACGGCGATTGTTGCATTACAAGAAACTTGGCTCCATGAAGTCTATGATGACAATCTGGTTTCCCTAAATATTTTTACATTGTTTAGACAAGATCGACTATGCTCCAGAAAGAAAAGAGGTGGAGGTGTTGCAACTTTCATTCATTCACAATGGTCAGCCTCAAATAATGTATGTTTTTCTTACTCTAATGACTTTATTGATTGTATAACAGTCAAATCCCGCCCGAAACACTTATCCAAGTTTAAATACGTCTTCATCTCAAACATTTATGTTACTCCTGACTGTTCTGCCTCGGATCTATCTGATTTTGCTGATGAATTCACTGAATTTGCCGTTACACATCTTGAAAACTCTTTATCAGTTGTCACAGGAGATTTTAACTGCTGTGATTGTTCTTTCCTCGTATCATTAGGTCATGCCAATATTGTTAAATTCCCTACTCGACTTGATAAAACTCTGGATCTAGTGTTTAATAATGATGAGGAAATATATGAAGTACGCAGACGTGCTCCTATCATGAACTCGGATCATTGTATTATTCGGATATTACCTAAGATATACAGCAGATCTCACTTTAATATCTTCTCAAATCTGTCCAGGAAAACACAGCAAAGGTTACTCACAAGAAAATATGCTCAAACTAAGATGTATGCCAAATGACACTAACTTGACTCTCATTCATTTTTTCGTTGAACCCTACCAATTAGATTACGTCACCCAACCTACTTTTGTAAC